CAATTTTTAGAGGAAATTGGCCTACTTTAATAAGAAATGTGCAAAATTTGAGATTTTTAGGAACTTTCAGGGTGTGAAAAGCCATCTCCAAGGGGTGGGGAAAGATTTTCCACAGATGGATATTTTCCCCTTGTCCCCCGGTGGTTACACCTGCGAAGAATATCCGGCGGCTTAGATCAAAGGAGCTATGTGGACACTTATTGAAGTCTAGAAGGGGTTGCAGGGTGTTGTCAGTCTGGTCATTATATCTTCCTTTTTATTCTTGTCTTTATTTTTCTCTTCTTTTTTCATTTGCTTTTCTTTTCCCCTTCATTGTCTTTCCCTAACTCTACCCTCTTTCTTTTTCTTGTTACACAGCCCGGTACGACGTCTTGGTAAGCCTGGTTAAAAAATCCGTCAGGGGGCAGTCTGTTCCTCCCCCCCCCCCATTGCCTGTTACGCCACTGACGCTGTTTTTAAAATATATTTATGGTGATTGCACTCATTATAGCTATGATCATAACAGTATTCACCATCCCTGTTAAAAAGAAAATATACAGATATACAGTATAAAAAAATTATGTGTGTAAATACGTATTTACACATTTTCCCCGATCCCTTACATATCAAGTATCATTGTTTGCATTATTTTTCATAATTATTGTGCTGTAGACCTACAATATTTTGGGGAATGTGGTATAGGCCTATTTAATAAAGAGTTACGAACTAGATAGTTACTTACTGTTAATTATTTAGTTTATCTGAATATTCCTATAGATTTGCACATTTGTCTTATTGTATTTTTTTTAAAATGTTCTATTGTCTTCGTAGTTTAAGTCTTATCGTGCTTGATAAGATTATAATAATGTTCCTATATAATTTCCTATATAAAGCGCTGTTAATATTTTATTCAAGGGCGAATCCACCCCGGAAAGAAAGGTGGGGGGGGGGGCAAAAGAGTGACAGTCTCAAGAAAGAGCCCCCGGTAGGGGTGCAAGGGGAGATTCTCCCTTAAACCTCTAGCACCTTTATTAATTTGAGTTGATATTTGATTCATTTTTAATATTTAGCATAGTAATTTTCTGGTAAGTATACAAAACCATTTTTTACAAAAAAAAAAAAATATGGGGACGTACGCCCTTTACGCCCCCTCTAAATCCACCACTGTTATTAATTTGTTTTATATTAACAGGACTCGAGTTCCGGTGGAGGCTGAGTTATTTTCTCTCTTTGTCAGATTCCTCTTCTGTTACGTTCGAATTTGTATTATTCATTGCATACATCTAAGCTTGCGGTTTGTGGGGTTTTTTTTCCAAATGGCTTATATGCACAACACACACCCACCCACACACCCACACACACACACACACACACCCACACACACATATCTTATACACATCTA